GATAACATGCCAAATGGGGTTCATTGTGGCCAAGTGCAAGGTGATGCACATTGGAGCCAAAAATCCTAAATATAAATACACATTGATGGGGTCTGAACTGGCAGAGATTGATCAAGAGAGACATCTTGGAGTAGTAGATAACTCACTGAAAATGTCAAGACAGTGTGTGACTGCAATAAAAAGGCCAATGCTATGCTGGGGATTATTAGGAAGGGTATTGAAAACAGATCAGCCAATATCATCATGCCCCTATATAAATCAATGGTGCGACCTCATTTGGAATACTGTGTGCAGTTCTGGTCACCACACCTTAAAAAGGATATTAAAGCTTTGGAAAAAGTGCAGAAAAGGGCAACTAGAATGATAAAAGGGTTGGAACACTTTCCCTATGAAGAAAGGTTAAAGCGCTTAGGGCTCTTTAGCTTGGAGAAACGACAATTGAGGGGTGACATGATTGAGGTTTATAAGATTATGCATGGGACAGAGCAGGTAGAGAGAGAGGTACTTTTCTCCCTTTCTCACAATACAAGAACTCGTGGGCACTCCATGAAATTGCTGAGCGGTCGGGGTTAGAATGGATAAAAGGAAGTACTTCTTCACCCAAAGAGTGATTAACACATGGAATTCACTGCCACAGGAAGTTGTGGTGGCTACAAGCATGGATGGCTTCAAAAGGGAATTAGATAAGCATATGGAGCAGAGGTCCATCAGTGGCTATTAGCCACAAGGTATAGATAGGGGCTCTGGGGCAAGTGATGCTCTGTCTTCTTGGTGCTTTGTGGGGTCAACAGTGGGAGGGCTTCTAATGTCCTGGCCCCACTGGTGGACCTCCTGATGGCACCTGGTATTTTTGGCCACCTCTTATGTTCTTATGTTCTTAATGTGCTGTGACTGGTGGCAGTTCTCCATATCAATCTGCCCAAGTTCTGAGAACTATGAATTGTGTCTTCCCGTAGCAAGTGGGTTCCTTGTCTGAGGAGAAGTGGGCTGGGATCCAGAGAAACACTTTTTTAGCTCTTCCCCACAGGCCTTCCAGAGCAAGCAGAAGACTTCTTTAAAAAATCCAGAAGGCCTTTTGAGCTAAATCTTGAGGATAGTGTTTGCTGTGTTTTGTATGTAAAGGTGCTGGTTTTGACCTTTAAAGCCCTCTATGGTCAGGATCCAGCATACCTAAGGGACCACCTTTTCCCATATGTTCCCCAGAGAGCACTGCGTTCAGGGGCCCAAAACCAGCTGGCCCTCCCAGGTCCCAAAGACACCAGGTTGGCGACAACCAGGGCCAGGGCCTTCTCAGTAGCAGCTCCACACTGGTGGAATGAGCTCCTTGTTCTTATAAGGAAGTACTGAGGTCCATCAGTGGATATTAGCCACAAGGTATAGATAGGGGCTCTGGGGCAAGTGATGCTCTGTCTTCTTGGTGCTTGGGGGGGTCAACACTGGGAGGGCTTCTAATGTCCTGGCCCCACTGCTGGACCTCCTGATGGCACTGGTTTTTCTGGCCACTGTGTGACACAGAGTGTTGGACTGGATGGGCCTTTGGCCTGATCCAACATTGGCGTCTCTTATGTTCTTATGTTCTTATGAAGAGATCAGGGCCCTGCGGGACCTTTTACAGTTCTGCAGGGCCTGCAAGACAGAGCTGTTCCACCAGGCTTTAAACTAGTAGCCGTGTGTGAAATCTGAGAAGAGACCCTGTGCCCTGGCTTTACCATCTTTAGCCCGCCTCGCTAGGTAAATGTAGACCAACATTATTATGACTGTCACCTGTGGGGTATGGTTTAATTTGAAATCTCTGCTCATGCACTTTATTTGACAACTGTACTAGCACTTTAGGATAGTGATTTATGCATTTTAGGATAACTGATTTGTTTTTGGTTTGATTAGTTATAATGAGTTTTATGATGGCTTTTAATTGTATTTTTATATATTGTGTAAATCGCCCTGAGCCTGCCTTGGTAGGGACAGCAGGGTATAAACTGAATAAAATAAATAAATAAATACATTTATATATTGGCTGGTTTAGCAGTTGTAATTTGATACTGGCATTTCATTGAATTTTATTATTGTTCTTTTGGACTTCATGTTTCAATCTTAGCTACCTTTGACCCCTAACAAGTTCAAAGAAAGCATATAAGTGTAATAAATAAATGTGTTTTGACTGGAGATACCAAGGATTGAACCTAGGGCCCTCAACAGAGATTACTTGTTCTTTGTCACTGACCTTTGCCCTCCCCCCTCCAATAACATTGATCAACACTTACTCCTATGCTGCTGATTTCAGATCCCAGGACAGGGCGATCTGATGTGGAAGACTCTGACCTTGTCTTTGAGAGTTTTACTCGCTCAGCAATCTAGAAATGGGAAAAACACATGCACACATGGCTTAGTATAATCATGTTCCATGTATAGCTTCTGCACAGCTATACAAAACGCTCCCCCTTCTTCATACATTTGCCATGTCAAAAGATGCTATGTTAAATTGATTAATGTAAACTGACAGCTGTGTTGTGACTAAGAGAGGCTTAAAATCCTTAGTACTTTATCTCTTCCTGCAGCTCGAATTTGTGGGCTCACTTAGGATCCTTGAAAATTCCCCTGACGCTCCAGCTGATATTCCAAGTTAACTGCATGCCTATGCAGCAGCTGCACACAGCAAAAACTGCTGCTTCCAGATGATGAGGGACTGTAGCAATGTACGAGGGCTCACCTTGGCAATGGGAATGTCATTACTGCTGCTGCTTGTGCTTAGTTCACCAGTGCTAGGGTTAATGGGACGGTTGGCTGGAGTGAGACGACCTGGGCTCGATGGGCCAGTTGCCTGTACGCTCTGTAAGCGTGTCTGTAGTTCTCGAACCTGCAATAAGACACAAAATCATCTGCTTGCCTTTACAAAAATACCTGTGGTAGCAGCCAAGTTCTGCTTAGGAATGTGGCCAATGACTCTGAATTTTTAATATTTGGTGACATTTTAAAAGGTCTGATGTAAAAGCTTTCGGTTGATTCTCTGGCTCCTACAAAACAGTTCCTACTTCTAGATTGTTTTATTTGAGATGGACATATCTCTTGAAAGCATATGAATAACTTACTCTGACAGTAACATTTTTTATAACTTTATATTTATAACATTTTTCATAACGATACATTAAACAACATTCAATCCAATACAAAATCAATATATTTAGTAGGCAGCGCGGTCATACCATCTTTTACATTGTTTATATAATTAAAAAACACAAACCACTTTTCCACAAATCTTGATGTTTTATGAGGCTGCTCCGTTTCCAGAATTTGCATTGCCATTTTATCCATAATTACAATGTCCCATAGTTTAGTGAACCATTGTTTTACAGTTGGTACTTTATCCAATTTCCAAACCTGGGCTAGTAATGTTTTAGCTGCAATAAGCATTAATGAAATCAATTCTTCAGTTGTTTGGGAAAAGAGCCCTTTATCCCAGTGATTTAATAATATGGATCCAGATGTATTTGGTAAGTTTATTCCCAGTATAGATTCTATTCTTGTAATCACCAAATTCCAAAAACCCTGAATTTTTGGACAGGTCCACTAACAATGGTATAAAGATCCCGTCTGGTTACTGACAGTAACATTTAATGAATACTTTGGGAGAAACAAAGAATGTGTGTATGAAAGGAGGAAATGGTAGAAAATGGAATAATGGATTGATTACTGACGTGCAGTGTTTAGGCACCAGACATGGCCTTTGTTGGATACATAAAGGGGGAGGAGAAACATGGAAATAACTGTAAGAGATTCCAAACCACTACCTTTTAACATGTACTAAAATCTGATTTGGAACACATCACTTTTACACAGGGTTTGACAAAATGCCAGGCACCAGGTCACCATGGCACCTACAAATTTCAATGTGGCACTTTGTATTATTTTTTTTTTTGCAAGGACTTATTGCAGTGTCTCTCTCAATGAGAAGTACAAAGTTTATTTACCATTTCACATCAGAATACGTCATGTTGTATGGCGTAAAAATATATGTGCATGAAATTCTTGTCAGTACTTGCTTATATGTTAACTTTACACTATTCAGTGGTGGCGTCTATACTGGCTGCAATATTAAATTCAATAATCAGTTCAGTGGAGCTTTAAAGCTACAATGGAATTATCACACATAAGGGGGAAGTTAGGCTAGGGTTAGGGTTTTTTTGTAGTGATGACCAGTGTTCCCTCTAAGCTGAGTGAGTGTGAGCCAGCTCACAGGTTCTTTAGCCTCCGGCTCACGCATTTTTGCCTTAGCTCAGGAAGGAGGGCTCCAGAGCAGACTAATCTATGCAGTAGCCAAACCGCTCGCTCACAACTTTAATGCCGGCAGCTCACAAAGTGGAATTTTTGCTCGCAAGACTCCGCAGCTTAGAGGGAACGTTGGTGATGACAACTGGGTCTATCCCTACATTTATTTCTATACAATACTTTTGTCACATCTTTAATAAAATTACGAGAAACTGTGAAGAGATTAGAATTGTGGTAGCAATAATTAGAAAATATGATAATTAGTATATGAAACTGAAGGCTCCCAGAGCCAAAGAAAATTTGTCAAGGCCTGACAAAACATTTTTCACGTTCAGGTATTTTTCCTAAACACACACAGAGACAGAAGCCCTAACCCCTAGAGGGCTCTTCTGCTGAAAGAAAAAGCTCTTGTACGTATGCAGATATATGCACAAAGATAGACAGACTGGCAGAACAGAGATTGGCAAACAACAGCAATCAAGAAGTTTTTACATAAAATAAACTACTCAGTTAGATGTTGGAAGTGGCTCCATGCATTTCCCAACTGATGTCAAACTAACTAAACCAATATTTGGATCTGTTTAGTCATGCTCTGGAGAAAAAAAATCTTGCTCCAGTAAGTCTCAGGTGTGAAATACATCTCCATGTCCTTCCTCTAAATGCACTGAGAAATTAAAATGCTGTACCATATTTATTTGTTACAAGTGGGAACCTGCAAGGACTTGTGAGAGGCATCTCACATCCCTCTCCCCCACTATTTCCTCTTTCCTTTTCCTGAAAGCCCCCACAGACTCTAATTTCTAATTTCTTTCCCTCCTCTTGGCAATCCTCACACCCTGTCCCTGCCTCATTCTCTCCTCCTCACACCCTGTCCCTGCCTCATTCTCTCCTGTCTTTTATCTACCTCTCATCTTCAGCTATATTTATTCTTTATTTGCTTCATTTATACCTCACCTTTCTCCACAGCGGGGATCAAAGCAGCTTACATTATTCTTCTTTCCTCCTTTTCATCCACGTAACAACCCTGTGAGGTAGGTTAGACTGAAAGTATGTGAATGGTCCAAAATCACCCAGTCATCTCCCACCGCAAGATGAGGATCTGAACCTGGGTTTCGCAGACCCTAATCTGAAACTCTAACTGTTACACCGCACTGGCTTTCATAGAGTGGCCGCTGTTGAACAGTAGCAAGCAGCCACGCCTACTTGAATCATGCAAGTCAGGTGGCGTCAAATCACTCAGAGGTTGCTTTCAGGCCTAGGGTCGCCAACCTCCATGTCGGACCTGAAGACTCCAAAGAATTACAACTGAACTCCAGACATCTGTCCCCCTGGATAAAAGGGCTGCTTTGGAGGGTGGACTCTGTGGCATTATACCATGCTGAGGCATCTCCCCTCTCCAAACCCTGCCCTCTTAAGACTTCATCACAAAATCTCCAGGAATTTCCCAACCTGGAGCTGGCAACTCTAGCCAGGCCTAGCCCCAATGAGTTCTTCCTCAAAGCCCAAAATAGGTCTGTAAAGCCCCCCCCACCTTTTACTGACAGAGCCAAGCTTGGAATGCTGAGCAATAGCCACTAAGAGAATCCATCGCTTAGAGCTACAAGCACTCCTGTTATCATTTTCAGATTTTTTAAAGCTACTCTGTATTGTTGTTGTTTTTTTAAAGATTTCACATTTTTTTGGAAACTTAGGGTCCTTTTCAGGTTTGTAGAAAGATTGGTCTTGCCTGTTCACTGCTCCAGTAACCAGATTTAAGTACCCAAAGATACAGGGACTTCGCCTGAAACTCAAGCACATTTTCTTTCCAAGGGCAGATCATGTTGCTGGGACAACAGAGGAATCCAGGGTTTCCAGGCCCAAACTGATAACCAACAGGAGACTGGGGTGCATGGGGGGCACAGGCTACAGAAAACTCTGAAGTGACATCATGCCCCTCTAGGAATCTCCAGAGACTCTACAATAGAACTCACAGAGTTTCTGGTGGTTCCTAGAGAGGTGTGATGTCACTTCCATCAGCCTGACTGCCATTTTTTCCCTCCCACCATCCCTTCTCCATGTAGTAACAGAGAAAGAAAGAGGGATATGCAGAGACCTAATATACACATATTGGCTTGAGGTATCTTTCCAGGGCATAACAAAAGAACAAGTCTTCTTCTTTAATGGTAAGAGTCCAGGTCTCCGGAGTCCAGGTCTACTCACCTCTTCCCCGCCCCTTCCCCTTCCCACCTTCCAAGGGGCGGGGCCCGTGGGAGGGAGGCAGAGGAAGCAGAAGGCGGAAGTACCCCCCCATCCCGCTGTTTCCCGTCTCCTCCACCCCCTGCCTTCCCC